AGTGGCATTCAAGAGGCTAGTAGTAGCTTTGAGGAGTCACAATCTTATGATTCCATATTGCCTGGTGAGCTTTACTTTCTGAGGGCTTCCTGAGGTATGACAATCCATGCTTACAAGCAGCTTGCTCTCAAATACCTATGAAACAAATTCCTAATTCTAGAGTCACTCCATGAATCACTTCCTCTGTGAGGTCTCATTAGGTGCCCCCTTACAAATCACATTCACACTGTACCTTGTGTTTTCCTGTGTTTCCTTATCTGTAAAATGGGGATAACAGTATCTTCCTCCCTGGGCTACTGGGACAGTTAAATGAACTATTACATACAAAGTACTTAGTGGAGTGCCTGGTTATAGGAAAAACTCAGTCAATTTTACAAATAATTTACAAATAATGATGATGATGATACTTGTCACTCCATACTATAGTTGTTGTCACTCATAGTGACCTTATATACAACAGAATGAAACACTGCCAAATCCTGGACCATCCTCACAATCATTGGCATGCTTGAGCTCATGTTGTTGTCACTGTGTCAATCCATCTAGTTGAAAGTCTTACTCTTTTCTGCTAACCCTCTTACCAAGCATGGTATCCTTTGCAAGGGACTGGTCCCTCCTGACAATATGACCAAAGTACGAGAGGTAAAGTCTTGCCATCCTCATTTCTAAGGAACATTCTGGTTGTACTTCTTCTAGGATAGATTTGTTTGTTCCATGGTAAATTCAATATCCTTCTCGAATACCATAATCCAAATCCATCAATTCTTCTGCCGCCTTCCTTATATATTGTCCAGCTTTTGCATGCATATGAGGTGATTGGAAATACCATGGACTGTGTCAGGCACACCTTAGTCTTCAACGTGACATCTTTGCTACTGTACATTTCAAAAACATCTTTTGCAGCAGATTTACCCAATGCAATACATCATTTGATTCCTTGACTCCTGCTTCCATGGGTGTTGATTATGGATCCAAGTAAAATGAAATCCTGGACAGCTTCATTTTTTTCTCCATTTACCCTGATGTTGATTAGTGATCCAGTTGTGAGGATTTTTGTTTTATATTGAGGTTTAATCCTTATTGAAGGCTGTAGTCTTTGATCTTCATCAGTAAGTGGTTTCAAGTCATCTTCACTTTCAGCAACCAAGTTTGAGTTATCTGCATATTTGCAGGTTGTTAATATGTCTTCTTCCAATCCTGATGCCATGTTCTTCTTCTTCATATAGTCCAGCTTCTTGGATTATTTCCTCACCATACAGATTGAGTAAGTACAATGAAAAGATTAAACCCTGACACACACCTTTCCTCATTTTAAACCATGCAGTATACCCTTGCTCTGTTTGAATAACTGCCTCCTGGTTCATGTACAAGTTCCTCATGAGCATAATTAAGTGTTCTGGAATTCCCATTCTTCTCATTATTATCCATAATTTGTTAGGATCCACACAATTGAATGCTTTTGGATAGTCAATGAAACACAGGTAAACATCTCTCTTGTATTTGCTTTCAGCCAAGTTCCATCTGACATCAGCAGTGATATTACTTATTCCACATCTTCTTCTGAATCCAACTTGAATTTCTGGCAGTTCCCTGTCTATGTACTGCTTCAAGTGTTTTTTTAATAATTTTCACCAAAATCTTACTTGCATGAGATATTAATGATATTGTTAGATAAGTTCCTCATTCTGTTGGATCACCGTTCTTTGGAATTGGCACAATTATAGATTTCTTGTCTCTTGGCAGGTATCTGTCTTCAAAATTTCTTGGCATAGATGACTGAGCACATTTAGTGTTGAAACATCTCAACTGGTATTCAGTCAATTCCTGTAGCCTTGTTTTTCACCAATTTCTTCAGTGCACCTTGGACTTATTCTTTCAATACCATCATTTCTTGATCATATGTTACCTTCTGAAATGGTTGAATATTGACCAATTATTTTTGGTACAGCGACTCTGTGTATTCCATCCATCTTTCTTTGTAGCTTCCTGTATAACTCAATATTTTGCCCATAGAACCCTTCAATATTGAAATTAAGGCTTGAATGATTTCTTTAGTTCTTTCAGCTTGAAAAATGTCAAGCATGTTCTTCCCTTTTGATTTTTGAACTCCAGGTCTTTGCACATTTCATTATAATATTTTACTTTGTCTTCTTGAGCCTGTGCTTGAAAACTTCTGTTCAGCTCTTTTACTACATCATTTCTTTAATTCACTTTAGCTACTTTATGTTTGGTCACAAGTTTCAGAGTATCTTCTGATATTCCTTTTGATCTTTTCTTTCTCCCTTGTCTTTTTAATAACCTTTGTTTTCTTCATGTCTGATGTCCTTGATATCATCTTCCCAACTCTTCTGGTCTTTGGTAATTGGTGTTCATGCATTAAATCGATTCCTGTGATGGTCTCTAAATTCAGGTAGGATGTAATCAAGGTCATACTTTGGTTCTTGTGAACTTGTTTTAATCTTATTCAGCTTCAACCTGAACTTCCACTAGAGCAATTGATGGTCTGTTCCACAGTCAGTCCCTGGCCTTGTTCTAACTGATGATATTGAGCTTGTCCATCATCCCTTTCCCCAGATGCATTCTATTTGATTGTTGTGTATTCCATGTGGTTATGTCTACATGTATAGTCACCATCTATATTGTTGAAAAAAGGTATTTGCAATGAATATCTCATTGGATTTGCAAAATTCTATCATGCTATCTCCAGTCTCATTTCTATCACCAAGAATATATTTTCCAAATACCCATTCTTTTTTTGTTTCCAATTTCTACATTCCAATTACCAGCAATTATCATTGCATCTATATTGCATGTTTCAGACTGCAGAAGTTGGTAAAACTCTTCCATTTCTTCATCTTTGGCTTTAGTGGTTGGTGCATACATTTGAATAATAATCTTAATGACTGTTCTTCCTTGTAGGTGTGTGGATATTATCCTATCACTGATAGCACTGTACTTCAGGATAGATATTGAAATGTTCTTTTTGACTATGAATGTGACACCATTCCTCTTCAATTTGTTATTCTAGGAATAGCAGATCATATGACTTTCCCATTCAAAATGGTCCATACCAGTCCATTTCCACTAATTAATGCCTAGGATATGGATCATTATGCATTCCATTTCATTTTCTACAATTTCTGGTTTTCCTAGATTCATACTTTGTACATTTCATGTTTCAAATATTAAAGAACATTAAAGCTGTTTCTTCTCCTTTCAAGTCATGCCATATCAGGAAATGAAGGTCTCCAAAATTCTACTCCATCCATGTCATTATGGTCAAATCAACTTTGAGGAGGTAGCTGTTCTCCAGTCATATTTTGAGTGCCTTCCAAACTGAGGAGCTCATCTTCCAGCACTGTATCACTATATTCTACTGCTTTAGGAAAATATTCAGTGGACAATTTCTTCAGAAGCAGATCACCACATACTTCTTCCAAGTCTACCTTAGTCTGGAAGTTCTGCTGAAACCTGTCCATTGTGGGTGACACTACTGGTATTTGAAATACCAGTGGCATAACTTCCAGCATAATAGCAACAGGCAAGCCACCACAATATCACAAACTGACAGGTAAGAGGTGGACTCTGTGCTATAGTTATGGATTATTCTGACTGCTAGACTTGAAAATAGTGCCCAATTCTTGTAAATTACTTTGTTGTTGTTATGTGCCGTTGAGTCAGACTCGACTCATAGCGAATTACTTTAGTACAATAAAAATTTGTTGGGTCAATGAAAATTTGTTGATGTAATAAAAGAACATATGAATAAATAAACAAACATATGAGTGAAAGAGAGAATGAGCTGCTGGATGAATGCAAGAAGCCCTTTTACAGGAGCTCTTCTTGTTCACAAGAGAAGTCCTTTGGACTGTTTATAAGAAGCTGGAAGAAGCAGGAGCTTGGGCTCAGTCACCTCCACAGCATGCCCCTTGCCAAGTACTTTCTAATTTATCACTACTCCCCCATCACTTTGTCTTTTCTTTTTCACAGCACATCTTACTATACAAAATAATTTCATTTCTTTAGTGATTTGTCTACTTTATTGCCTATCTCTCAGGCTGAAACATAAGCTTAGGATACTGGGATCTTTTCTGCCTTGTTCACCACTCTATCCTCTGTGCCTCCAATAGTGCTTGACCCACAACCGATGCTCAATAAATGTTGAATGAATGAATGAATGAATGCTCTACCAAAATAATACGATCTAGCATAAAAAAAAGTGGCATTTGGGAGTGGGAACTACTCTCCTTCCCACAATACACACACACACACACACAAACAAGAGAGTTTGTTTATTTGCACCTGAGCAGCATCCAGACCTGGTTAAGACTGCATTTGCATTTTTAAAATATATCATCTTATTTGTAAGGCCAGGACTTTGACAAAATGTTTTCAAATTTGAGTTATAATGAGCAATAGTGTGCTTTTTCTCACTAGCAACTTCAAACAGAAGAGCCTTCAACAGGCTTCCACTTAACACCTATTTTCAATTTGCAAAAATGTGTTTTTATATGTGTGTGTGTGTATATATATATATATATATATAAAATTACTTTCAACAGAACTTTTCCTTTTACAAAGGTAAAGTGATTATCACAAGAAGTAAATATATGTCTCATGTAAACATGTCCCATGCATCCAAGTAATGTGAATCTTCTGATGATAATGCAGATGTATAATGCAAAGCTGTGAGTTCAAGAGGCAAAGATGCTCTGTACTTATGATGCCTTAAATATCTTAATATGCTTCATTCTGCAACATCAATATTAACCTTAATCTGCATATGCTTTTCAATGTAATTTAGAGCGAGGCTAATAAAGACCTAATAAAATTCCCCTCCATAGAAAAATAAATTCCTCTCACTTGTCAGACTAGACACCCCATTTTTAAAAATAATTTAAATGTATTCTTAGTATATAATTGTTCTTTAATGGAATAACCATAATTAGAATTTCTTCCTAATGTGTCAGAGAAAACTGAGTAATAGGATTCATACTTACCAATGCACTTCTGAGTCTGTTGATGGGGTTGTTGGTGGAATATTAGAATTTGCTGGGTGGGTGACTGTGAAATGAACCTTGCCAGTGTATCCTGGGATGTTGGCAGAGCTAAAGCAAAGAGTTAAAGATAGAAAAGAAGAGAGACTGAAATGATGACTTGTGAAATATCATGGCAACTAGCACCTAGATATGAAAACTATAAAGGAGGATGACTCTGAGTTTTTTTGTCAGTATAGGTTCTGTATCAGTTATCCAAACAGGAAAGTGTGCAGACATGGGTACACTAATGAAGAGGTACATAGATTATATCTGTACTTTGGGACTGAAAAAAACTTATTTCAAATCCACGCTTTTCTTATTATTTTAAATTTGCATCTATTTTACATACAAGATTCACTGCTGTGGTGGGTTTCACAATGAAGAAAAAAGATAAGTTCTTTAAACAGCAGAAACTTACTCAATATCTAATATTACAGAATGCTGATTTCAATACTAGTGTGCATGTACTCTTACATTTGTAACTAAGTTATTTTTTATAAAATGTCTTTTATGTCACTATCAATGTACTACATTACAGATTTCAGATAATATCCTAAAATTTCACAAACTGAAAATAAATTTAGACCAGGTATTAACTCTATATTGGCTTGTTTAACTTCACTTATTCTTCTGCTTTCCCTTTCCTTTTCCCCAGACCCATGAGTGAGTTATGGGGGGATAAAGAAAAATGTAAGAAGCACAGGGAAGTAGTGTGAATAGAAAAAACCACTCTACAAAAGAAATATTCAAAAGAAATATTTATATAGGTAGTTCAGAGAAATGTACAGTAAGAATAACTAATATATGTGCCATTTTTATAGCATGTGATCTGCTTTACACAGATTCTTTCCTTTGGTGAGTATGACAATCCTGAGAGGTAGTAAATCTAAATTTATTACCTATGTGAGGCTCTGTCCTGTGTGCACCTAAGACGTGTTGCTTTAACCTCAAGGAATATATAAAATACTTAGAGAGTTAAGTGAAAATATAAGATTCACACTGCATTTTAAGGAGCAAGAATGTACTATATGCAAATCACGAAGTTAAGTTAAATATCTTATCAACTTTTAATGAAATTCAGCTTTTCTTATTGATTCAATGCTATAGTATATTTTTGTGCTTATTTTAAAGATGAGAAGAGATACTACCATCATGAATGTGCTGATAGTAAGGAGAGTGACAAGGATCAATTTGCAATTCTACTCTACTTGGTGGTTGTGCTTCCCATCTTGGGGGTCATTCTTTTACAACATGACACTCTTTTGGAGTGGTCCTTTATTCTAAATGATGCACAGATGAATGCAATGGGATAGAAATAGTCAAACTTCTGCCAAAGGTGAAGGTGAATCTCTTGGTTCTATATATCATAAATTCCTTACCACATACTAAGCCTAACAACACTTTTCCAGGAACCACTTCTCATAGGAGTAATCTTTGAAACATGGAGTTTAAAGTGTCACATAATGAGACATACAGAAAAGGGGTAGTGAAATGGGTAAGTTTTCAAGAGTCAAGACCAAGGCTTAAACCCCAGGACTATGCTCACCAGCTATCAGATCTGGGTCATTGACTGAATCTCTCATCTATGAAAAGGGATAAAACCATCAATCTGAAGGACATGGGTGGCAGGAAAGTGAAATAATCTATGTGAAATGTCTAGAGAAATTAATATTAATTTTAATATTGATATTGTAGGATTCCCTGGGCAGCATACAATCTTAAGCATTCAGCTATTAACTGAAAGTTTAGCATTTTGGACCCACCCAGAGATACCTTGGAAGAAATGCCTGGCAATCTCTTTCTGAAAGGTCACAGCCATAAAAAATCTATGGAGTACAGTTCTGCTGTGAAACACACGGGGTTACAGTATGTTAGAATGCACTCAACAACAGCTGCTTTTTTGTTCTGTTTTTTAATATTTCAATTTCTTGGTGTCCTAACATGCACTGATTTTTGTCAATATCAGAATGTTAGAGAAAAAAAATATGTATCAGGCAGAGAATTGTACAAATAAGCCTCATATGTCTCTCCCAACTTTATAATCTATGACTGTATAGATGATGTCTCATTGGCTTGGAGGCAATAAATTGGGGGATATCCTGATACTAATATAATGAAGAGAAATTAATTCCAAGGCAATACAAGAATAAATGGTAAAAATTAATGAATTTTCTGAGATTTGGAAGATAAGCCAGTTAAAGTGCAGGAGAAGTGCACAGTACTGGAAGCCCCTTAACTAAGGAAAGTGCTCTCAGCCTTACTCAGTCAATTGACAAATAAGGATAATACTAACTCATAGCAGTACTCAGGGATTGATAAATTAAATCAATGTGCAAGGAGTTAGCAAATCATTAGTACTCAATAGGTGCTCAACTAATTTTAGTTGAAATACAAGATTATAAAGAAATAAGACATTTACAAAATAAAAGCTGTGCCAATGGAGAATGCCGAGTTTTTCCAGTACAGATACAGTAAAGATATTAAAGCAGCGATTTCCAAATGTTGCTGCACATTGGACTCTCATGGGATCTTTACAGGGTACTGATGGTTGGCTCCTACTACCAGACCTCTGATTTAATTGGTGAAAGGGAAATGGGATTTTCAGAAGCTCTCCAGATGGTTCTAATATACAGTGAAGTTTGTAAAGCTCTACTCTAGCACTGTGTTTTCAGACTTGTTGGAGTGACCTGGGTGAGTGAACCGATGTTGCTGAATTGTAAACAGTGCCCTTCAGCTTTTTGTTTTGTATAGATCTTAAAAAACTCAATCCAAAAATATATATTTAATAAATGTCCTTCAGTTTTGCTGGGAATGATCTTGAAGAAATGTAGCTGTAAGTTAAAGAGATAACAAAAAATGAAGCTAAATTATTCATGTATATGTCTCTCCCTCAAGCATTCATTAAAGCTTCCATGCATATTACAAAGGAAATACCCTTCATCTGTGTGGGAGGTTTTTTCCACTGCCCTTAAAACACCTGCAAAATTAAAATGCCTCTAAACACAAAGTCTTCTATGAGTACTATGAGATTAGTTAACAGGTCAGGGAGAAGGATACAAGCAATTGATATGAAACATTATTAAATGGTTCTATGTGCCTCTGTAGTATACTATGACACTGATGTTAAATGGTGTTATACATTATGTTATGTTATGATATATAATATGGTGAACCAAACCCATTGCAGATGAGTCAATTCTGATTTACGGTGCCCATGTAATACAGAGTAGAACTGTTTCATGGAGTTTTTAAGGCTGTAATCTTTATGGAATCAGATTGCCAGACCATTTTTTTTTTCAGCTGAGCCACTGGTTGAGTTCAAACTGCCAACCTTTAGGTTAGTAGATGAGTACAAATGGCTTGCACTCTCCAATGACCTATGATATGATATCGAATGATAAGATACTATAAAATACAAGCAATTGACTGCTTCAACTTGAAAAAATAAATTCAGTTGCTTTTTGTAAAGCTAAATATTTGAAAACAAAGGCCTTCACCTACACTGCTTATAATCTATTCTATAAAATTTGTACATGATACCACAAGGGGTATTTTGTAGCAGGCTGATCTTATATCAAATGGAGAATAGTCTCTGATGGACCCTTTACAAATCTGCTGCTACTGGACTATTATACCTTAGATAGAGGAAAAAAGCTCTTAAAAATACTGACATATATATGTTTTGAAATGAATTTCCAGGTTAGTTGCTTATAAAAAGATATCCCCCCCCCCCAATTCGAGGAAGGCAGAGAAAAGCAAGCACCAATTCAAGAATGAGAAGTGTTCATTTTTGCCTTTTCTCCATAGCTTCTGTCCTTCAAATATTCTCTTTTGTATCCCTATTCCCAAATAAGCCTGGATTTGGCTTAGTAATGGGTAAATTTTAATAGCTTATTGCCTAAGTTTATGACTAATTAGTTTGCTCAAGAAAGCATAATAAAATATGTTGTTGTTAGGTGCTGTCAAGTCAATGCTGATTCATTTCTACCCCATGCATCAGAGTAGGACTGCCCTATAGAGTTTTCTAGGCTTAATTTTTCTGAGAGCAGAGCTTGCCAGGTGTTTTCCCCATGGAGACACAGGGTGGGTTTGAACCATCAACTTTTGCTTAGCAGCCATTTGCTTAACCATTGTGCCACAATGGCTCCTGTATAATAAAATACACATTAAATAATTACACAAAATAAAGCAGCTTAGTTCAGTTAGAAAAAAAAGTAAAAGCATATAATTAAAATCTAAATAAAAAATAAAGAGAATGTGGGGAAAACCATGTTATATATAGAATATATGTAGATCAAATTTACAATTTTTATCTTTATAATAAAAAAAAAGAAGTAGTTGCAATGGAGTAGTTCACAGGTGACCCTATGTGTATCACAGTAGAACTGTGCTGCATAGGGTGTTTAATAGCTGATTATTCGGATGTGGATCACCAGGCTTTTCTTCCGAGAAACCTCTGAGTTAGCAGCCAACAGCATTAACTGTTTGTACAATTCTGTATTATAGATGTGACTAACACTTCTTGTGTGCATACTATATTCCAGGAACCCTTCTAATATTTCAACATGTATCAATATATTTCTCACCCAAACCCTGTATAGTAGCTACTATTTCATCCCTGTTTTATAATTGAAAGAATTGAGACAGAGAAAGTAAGATGCCCAGAGACAACCAAGCTCACAACTGGTACAACTGGATCCAAACCCAGGTGGTCTGGCTGCTAGGTGGGCACCCTGCTGGCCTCTGAACAAAACCAGAAGTCCTGGGCTTTAAAGATGAAGAGATAAAATTGAAAGAACCATTTGCATTTCTGGGAAATCCCCCTCTTGCTCTTACACACATGGCCTCCAGTCTAGCTAGAAGTGTCTTGTATTTCAGGGTATGCTCTTTGAAGAACATGGCTGTGCATACAAGTTCAGATCAATTTTACAATCTTTCCTTGATCCCTGGTGGCACACTGCTTAAGCGGTCAGAGGGAGAAGGATGTGGCAGTCAGCTTTGGTAAAGGTTAGAGCCTTGAAAATCCTATAAGGCTGTTCTACTCTGTCATATAGGTTTGCTATGAGTAA